TTTCACAATAAAGCTCAAGATCCTGTTGAGACTTTTCAAAATAAACTGAATCACGTGAAAGAGCAGATTGTTTACGGATGAGAATTAAAAAAGAGCCGCCAGGTGCTAAAAAATAAACCTTAGACTCAAACGTTAGAACAGGCTTTTCCCCGCAGCACGCCGTGTGATAAATACTCACAAAGAAAACGGCGGCTGTTACAACTTATGTCTAAAAATATATAGTTTCATGCATCGGTTAAAACACTCGACTCCAGCTACATGATGCGCAGCTGGAAACACTTCCCGCAAGACGAGCTGCACGAGATTCACAGAATTTACAGAAAATGTTACATGTTTGTCATTTATATCGTTACCGGGACGATAGAATTCTTATATCGGGATATGAGATTTTGGTCATATCGTACACAGCCCTAAACCTGGTAGTAAATGAAGTCCACTGCTAACTTTGGCTGCTGCAGCTTCATATTTACTTTCAATAACCTTGGAGTGTGTTTTTTGAGAGAGAGGACCTGACCCTTCACTTCAGTTTATTATGTTCTTTATGCCCGTTCATTCAACACGAGCCGCACCTTACATAACTCAGAAACGAGCCTCGCTGTAGTTCACACGGACACCGTTATCATGGAGGATTTCTTGTTTTTGTTCTATTGATGATAAAGCACGAGCTATATTAATGGAGCACAATGCTACTGCAAAAGTTGCTCTACATTAGCTGAGAAATCCTCGCTTTTGTTGTAACTTTAAAACAACACATTTCAAAGAGGCGTTTGTTGTTGCCCCTATTCAGGATTTTTTGGTCTTTGCTTCGTGAAGCGCTGACAGACAGATCAGTTTCCATCTGCCACAGAAAAGGAATAACTGCACCATCTTGTGTTTTGAAAAGCTGTCAAACTCCTATTGTTCCAACAATAATTCTCCTCTGGAAACTCCTACAGACACACAAACATACATGTACACTCCCAATTTTCTGCAAAGGCTGAGTCTCGTGTCTGTGTTTGTCCAGGCTCTGCTGACTTCATCGGGCCAGGACAGGTCGACAGGATTGGAGGCTCATCTGGTGTCTGCAAACTCCAGATACATCCAGGAGCAGCAGGAGCAACAGCAGGTAAGAGACCAGCTGAAGCTGAACAGATGTAGAGCCAAAAAAGAGGAAAGCAAAAGCCTCAGATGAGGGAAACATGAGAAGAAAAAAGGGAAGGGACTAAAGGAGATATTGTTGTGTGACAAATGATTACATGTAAAACGAGGATTCATGAAAAGTCCCGTCAGAATATTTTGTTTGTTTGTCATGTGATAGATGACAGGAAAGCTTTAATCAAAGGATCACACAGAAGGAGTGAAAGATAAGGATTGCTGCTGCAGCGTAGCAGTGAGGTGAAGGAGACGTGCTGCAAAGTGTCACACTGAGTGAAGTGAAAGACAGTATGAGCTGTGGGTTTCTACTTCCTGCGGTGTGCGCTGATATTGGTGATGAAAGTGTGTGATCACACATCCTGTGTCAAGTTGTGGTATTTAGTAAGAAATAGTGTTTCTTCATGTCTTTTTTTTTTTAATGAAAGAAAAGTTTGACCTTTTGTTTCATTACCTCAGCGAGGATGTGGTCTCCTCTGCGTTGACATCACTGCGGGGGGTTGTAGCAGTGTATGATTTGGTTCAATGATATGATTTAGTGGCACTTTTTTTTCTTTAAACGGTTAGTGTAGAGATTCTGAAAAGAAGCACCCTCGATAAAAACTGTTCACTGAGACACAAAAAACATGTTTTTTTTGTCAGATTTACCAAGCAGGGAAATAGAATTTCAATAATTCACAATACTGTGATTCTGTACCAAGAGTGGGTCAGAAGCAGTGAGTGACTGAGGCTGAACCAGTGTGTATGGAAACAGCAATGACACCCAGACCAAAGAGAGGCAGCGGAAAAGAATCAGTTCTGACACAAGAGTGAATCTTGTTGGGGGGGCTGCGTCTTGGAGGTTGGGGCAGTTGTTCTCTCAATGAATCCTGAGAGCTCATATGTCCAAAGACATTCATTTAAATGTGGTATAGAACAGAAAATACAATACACGAAAGAAAAAAATAGTAATGATTTGTGATGTTTCAGAGCTCGGTGTTCTCGCTGCGGGTGGAAAACGTGCAAATGGAGGTTCTTTGGTTCTCTCTGCGAGTTTCATTCCTCAGAAATGTGATTTAAAACACAGCAAACTATAAAAAGTAACTAAACTTTACCGGGAACACATTCATGGCCTGTATGTCTTTCTTGTGTCCCCACAAGTGTGGGCATCTACATCTAAGGGTGAAGATCTTTAGGCTAGGATTAGGTTCAGGTTAGTTGAAGGATTATGGAAAATCTTCAGTAAAGAGATGTAAGTCTGTCCTTTGAAGTGACGGGTGCATGTATGTGTGTGTGTGTGTGTGTGTGTGTAGTTGATCGTGCAGGAGCAGGATGAGCAGCTGGAGTTGGTGTCGGGCAGTATCAGAGTCCTCAAAGACATGTCTGGACGGATCGGAGACGAGCTCGATGAGCAGGCCGTGTGAGTACACATGCACACCTTTGAGAGCTTTTCCTCGGTTGGCTGAAAAAACACAACACATAAAGTCGTGTCCCAGTCATCATATGCTCTTTTTTTTTAAGATGCCTATAAAAAATGTCACATGTGTGACCGCTGAGTTAGGACTGAATACTGAATGTATTCGTAGCCCCACAGTGTTTACATCCATGTTAAGCAGCACTTCAGGATTGTGGGTTTTGAACACACACACGCGCACCTGACAGTCTAAACCAGGTTCAGGTTTTTGTTTGATGTACTTGATCTAAATCCTGACTGGATTACAGGCTGGGGTGTGTCCAACATCACCGAAAAGCACCTCTTCCACTAAACTTTTTACAACTCTGTCCATTTATATAATAATGTCCTATCAAAAGCCTGCTGTAACTCCCTGTAATGAATCCAAATGTTTAAAACAAATCGCCAAAATTTGTTGAAACTACAAATGTCTTGAGCCGCAGTCCAGTTTGATCAAGACCAAGGTCAAATCTTTTGGTCTTGATCTTTCTCAAAAGCCGTCGTTTTGCCTCAAATTAAGATGATATGACTTTTAATCGCAAAGGCAGCTTTTCATTGATCCTCTTATAATCTCGTCCACATCCCTGCAACAGCCAGGCCTTTGTGAGGTCACAATGTGCAGACGCTGATGTTAAAGTTCTCGCGGTATCGCTCGTTTTGTTTTTAGGATGTTGGGGGATTTTGGAGATGAGATGGACCAGACATCGTCCCGCATGGACTCTGTGCTGAAGAAGCTGGAGAAAGTGTCTCACATGACCAGCAGTGAGTTTACACACAAGCAGTTATATTTTCTACATTCACGGAAAATTTACCTTCAATTAATTTAGTTAAAGTGACACGTGTGGGCTATGAGAAGTGCATTTTAACTGTGACTCTGTAGACCCTGAAACATTGCTCTCAAAGTTTAGCCTATGTGCCAGTTCCAGTTTCTGCACTGCTGTTTAGCTCATTTAGCCATACATCAAGACCAGAGGAGCGTTTCTCATTCATTTCATCCCCCCTGTTCTGTCTGTTAAAGCAGACTAAACTGTGAGGAACACAGCTTGTGTCAAAAAGAGTGACAGCAACCACAGCAGTGTGTAAAAACAGAAATGAAATGAAGAAACAGGAAGGAGAAACGCTAAAAGGCCAAAACATTTCCTGTGTGACCCTCAGTATTATGCTGGGTTCTTGAATCGGCTCTCAATCATCAGTCGTAGTCCAATCAGACACAAAGCTAGTTGGAAAAAGAAAATAAGCCTGACAAAAACTTGAGTTCCTTCCAAAAAAGAGCGGTGTGTTTACTGTAATATTTTATGCTGCCTAAAGGTCATTTTAAGCTCTGCGACACTGTAGCGCAATGATGTCCTGTGCTGTGTCCGTCAGGTCGGAGACAGTGGTGTGCCATCGGTGTCCTGGTCGCCATCCTAATCGTGGTCCTCATCCTCTTCTTCGCACTCTGACATAAGCAGTCTATGACCTCTCGACCCCGTTCACAGACTCCTCCCTGTCTGGATGGCTGGACGGTTACAGAGCCCCTCCCATCACTCCCTTTCTTCGTGCTGAGGGGAAGCTGATCTGCAGGCTATAGCGAGGATGGATCCTCCACTCCACTTCAGCCATTCTAGTGGGGAGGGCGCTGCTGGTCTCTCATCAGCACAGTTTAACACGGGGAGGGGGGGAGGGGGGACCCTGGTGGTATTATGTCTTTTATTTTGATGCATTTTGGTTATCATTGGAGTTAAAGGTACTCGGGGAGGACTGCTCCTGTTGGGTTAAAATCACAAATCTGCTAAAGTTCGCTTCGTTTTAAGCCAGCAGCAGTATCATGGGGGAGGATTTTCAGTGTTGCCTTAAATCTATTTTTATACCATGTTGAAATGTGCAGTTTGTTTGTGTGCCGAGATGTAAATCATGCTGGGAACTTACTCCTTACTAGCAGTAATCAGCATCGGGCAGGTGTGCAGGTTTTCCCTCCACTGATGAAGAGTTTAGTAAAAAGTGCTGCTGAACTGTGTGTGTGTGTGTGGGGGGGGGATCTTATGGATCCTGGTTTTGCCTGTCAGATTCATTCCGAGTGTCTTTTACTCAGCAGACAAATGATTCATTTCCTGCTCTGATAGTGATCTGCCACAGAGAGGCAAAGGCCACCTTCCTTCACACCCCCGCAGACATTTGAGCACACGATTGGCTAAGGCTTTGTTACCCTCACTGGGTGAAGAGAGAAAACCTTGGCTTCAAGCGAATGGCTCTGCCTCTTTTTTTTATTGAAAAGCTTCAGCTAATGAGCAGAGGAATAGTTGCTGGGCAGGATGTCCCCACACAGCCTAGATTTAGGCTTAGAGCTCCCTCTGCTGGAGCCTGAGGCTCATTTCTATTCTTTTGTGTCACGTCAGGCAGCACTACCCACACTGAGGTGTGTTGCAGCGCTGTGTAAATGCTTCGACTTGCTTTTTGTGTGTAAATGGAAATTATTCTTGTACAAAGCATCCGATTTTTAATCCTGTGTGATCCAGATATCTTCACTCAAGCTTTAATCACCCAGTTACAGAGAAAATGAACTCTTTGTTTTGTAGGTCAGAGGTCAGGTGCCTTTGCCTGTTGCAGGAGTGGGTAAGGCTGAAAGCATCTTTACTGCCAGAGCTTTGTGTAAGTTAATGTGAGCTCTTGTCCCAACTTCAGAAGGGCAAGTAGCTCAAAAACCGGGAAACGTGTCAGTCTGAAACAACACGGAGGCGTTTGAATGTAAAGGCACAAGAAGAGAACAGAGAGCGTCCGTTTACTGTTTCACTTAAACCTGGGAATTGTTTTTACATGATTATAATGTAACGGCACATCAGACACGTGCTTGACAGGTTTCATGAAGTGATGGTGCTGAATTGATTGCAAAGCTGATTGTGCAATTACAGCACTCAGTGTGTTGGTCATTGTTAACTAATCTGATCTGTGCAAACTGAAGTATTAGATGATCACTCCCACCGATCCTGGTTTTTAAAGCTGGGTTAGGTGATATGGTTTTGGTTCATTACTCCAAAATAACTGTACAGCGTATTATAACTTGCAGGTAGTCAGAGAAGAGACTGGACCCATGCACGTCCTGTAGATGTGTTTTGTGCCATCAGGACACACGGGGGTAGAGAAGTGAGGAAAGGGACAGGAGGAATGAAATCTTCTGTGTTGGAAGTGGAATGTGGTGGACTCCTGTTGTCTTGTTTTTAACCCAAATGAAGCGCACACACCCGTGTGCCTCTGGTGGGAGGGGCTTTTGCCCAATGCAGCTTTAATGGTACTAGCAGTAGATTATTTCAGATTATAATAACTGCAGTTAACATCAGTGCTGAACTCCATCTAGCACACATTTACACTAATCAGCCACAATATTAGGACCCCCTCCCTAATATCACATAGACCCCCTCGTGTTGTCAAATCAGCTCTGACTCATCGTGGCATGGACAACGGGAGTCTGGGGGATTAGGATCTGGGGAGATTGAGCTCTAAGTCACTTTTTGTTGCCTTCTCAGAGTATCAAAAGGTGGATGGCACGAGTTAAAATATCAGCCACACGAGCAGCATGGCTAAAGGTTTAAACACGATTACGTCAGTGATTTTTACTAACCTTCGGTTCAAAACTGCTAATGAAAGTAAATATTCAAAGTGCCAAAGGTCCCATTTGTATTTATTCTGTGTGAATGACCAGCTATTACAACAAGTATGTTTTGGATTTTTGGATGTAAATGTGTAAAATACAGTACTGGAGCCATCGCGTTTTTCACACATGATGTTTGAGTATGTCATTGTGTTTTTACTGCCTCTGCTTACAAAAAAAAAAAGGGCAACATTGGTGACAAAGTGTAAACTTTTCCTGTCATATACACTATATGTGAAGAACAAGTGAAGGGAAAAAGCAAACTGCATAAAGTGACTCACACAATTGTTCTGTTACTGGCATCCAGAGATTTTTTTTAAATTGCTGATTGTGGTTATAAGTTTCATTAAACTTGAAATGACCGAATAACATCCTGAGTGTTTATCTTCTTTGAGGTGCTCCCTCGGCGTCTCGGCTGTGTGTCTCGAGGACGGCAGTTTGGCTTCCCTTTTGTGATTTGTTCCTCTGATAAAAGCTTTCACTGGATTGCAGATGTTTGAGTTTTAATTGAGAAGCACTTTGCAAAATGGAAACATCCCTGCGTGTTATTCTGAGAGCCACACGGCCATCATTATGTAAAATTACATTTACTTTAACTGTGAGGAGCGCGCTGCTACTCCCCGGAGGCTCTGTGAACTGCACACATCTCTTAAAATAACCAGACGGCAGTCGGGAGACCGACACGTTCGTGCGTGTTTCAGACATCCTGTGAAACTGGGAGAGGAGCTGATGGGTTTTATTCGTCAAGCCGAAACTGCTCAAACTGTGAGCACATTTTTCTGTGACAAATGCTAAGCCACCTTTCAAGATGGTGTTCTTTATCAATTGGGAGAGCTTACATTAAAAAAAAAAAAAACACAGGAAATGGGACACTTCAATGTTAGGGAGCAAAATATTAATTGTGCCTGTTCTTTCCACTGTAAGAAGTTCATGTCCATCTCATGTGTATAAGTGCAGCTCCAGATGCTTTTCCACCAGCCTGCAATATTAAACATACAATAGCACTTGCTATTTATCATTGTATTTCCATGACAACGAGTAATAAAAAGCATTGCCCCTCATGTTTGTGTATTTCAGGGGGTGCAGCTGCTTACCTGTGCACACAAAGGCCTCCTCCCACTTCAGATGCATCCTGGGGACTCTGCAGTTGCTGCTAAGATTGTTTATTTGAATTCATGTTTATTTTCAAAAGGCAGCCGTGGAGTCTGCCTAAACTTGGCTAAGAAATAAGGAGGAAAAGCCCTATGTTCATAAAATGTGTGCAAACAACTGAATTTTGTTGGAGAATAAGATGTGGAGCATTTCTGTGGCGTAATGAGTTTAGTTTAGGGTTTATTTAAGACGTGTGGTAATAAAGTTGACCCCTTGGACTGCGTTCAAACCTCCACCCCGCAACTTGAATTTCATTTTCAGACGAGTACAGCAAAGGCCAGAAAACTTATGTCTGTCCAGTGTGCTCCATGTCTGCTCAACTAAATGCAGCTAAAGCGAATTGCATCGACCCCTTCAGAGGCCTCACAGTGTTACACAACACCTCTGTGACAGTTTTAATTTAGCCACTGCACAAGTGTGTGGATCTGCTGAGGGATAGAACAGCTGTGAAGGCTGTGTTCTCTGAAGAAAGAAGTGTTTGCACATCTGTGGGCACACATCACACATCAAAGAGTGCAGATTCACTCACAGTTATTTTTCCTCCTTCCTCAGTTGACCACAGGGGGGCGCCATAGGCAGTCACATGATTGTGTATGTTTTATTTGCCCACTGCTTAAAAGTTCAGTGTAAAACTGACTTCATTAGCAGTTTTGGGAAAATAAATTATTGTATGTTTCACTACCCAATGGCAGCACATCTTCAGCTGTGTCTGGGAAACTATTTATTCATTTCAGTTTCATTTAAAGACAACACTAAGAAGTAAAACGCAGCAGAAAAACAGTAAATAATCATGGATGTTGACCTCTGGTAGAGCAAGTTGTGATGTCATAAACTGTAGGTTTTACATCTGCATCTTATTACTGTCGCTGTTAGCATGCCCAGACTAGCATTTCGTTCAAAACGACCACTTTTACAGATGCACTCTCTCACATTATCTAGCACAATTGTTTGCTGAGTCTCTCACAAAACCCAGTACTCACATCATATTACTAATATGTATTTACTTGATGGAGCATATTTCTGTTAGTTCACTACCTAAGACTCCAAGCTTCTGCTTTTATTTCTTATTTCTAACCAAATGTAACCTCTTGAGCTGAGTGTCTGTCTGCAGTTCCTCTCATGACCACTTGAGGCTCCCCA